GCAGCCGAATCACGCAAGTCAAATCGGAGTTCATCTAACCGTCTGTAGAGGATCCTTTTTGTCTCTCCAATGTACATACGTTCGCATGCCATACATTCTAACGAGTATACTGCCCCTCTAAAATGACATGTTTTGTTATCATTACAGTAGGCAGTACGGCCCTCTCGACCACATTTTTCCTCGGCCTTAAGTTGGTGAGCAGGCGTTTCTAATTTGGTGGTGGACGAAACATAAGGTATATGGGGAACCTCTCACCATATTGTTAACTCCGCTGTAAGTTTAAGTACCAATCGCATCCGGACCTGACTCCACCCATAGAACAAGTGTGGATTGTGTCTTCGAATGGATGAACTAAGGTACACTCCTTATCCCTGGGACGGAGTAAGCGTGGCACTGAACATGGCATAGGGTGGGTTACTCGTGGGATATTTCAATTTGAGACAACTGTCACCTTGTTCTGTGTTGACAGAGACATGATAACAACTGTCCCAAAATCAAAATATCCCACAAAATGCCTAGCAACCGCCTCGTTCCGTTCGAGTGCGCAGCCACGCCTACCCTCGTCTTCTGGGTGTACACTACATCGTGGGCAATGATTTGGCCTTCTGTCTGGGCTTGCTGCAGCAATATCCTCTCTTCGAAAAGGCTGCTAGTAAGGCGCTTACTCTGAGGATTCAGAGAGAAGTTTGAAATGCTGCTGAGGTTTTCAAAGTTTATCTACGATGTCTGAAGGTCTGGAGTCCAATTTTCTTCGAAACGTGATCAGATCCAATGCAAGGCTTCAGAGGACTTCACAGCGTTCAATGCATACTTTGGAAAAATATTTATTATTACTGCGCTACGAAAATACGTCAGTTCTCAAATCATACTGAAGACGACGCATCTGCTATCTTGACACAGTCTAGTAGTGGTCTGAAATTATTTGAATTTTTTTGATAGCCAAAGGTAAAAGGAGTAATTGTGGTCATTGAATGCTATGTGGTTCGGGCAAAGAACTTGCGGATGCCAGCTGATGCACAAGTCCGTCTTTCTATCCTCCCAGACAAATCTGGTACCAATTCACCGCTCCTGCAGGTGAATTGGCACTATATTTGTACCATGGTACGTTCAAAATTTCCGTGTTGTGATCTTTGTTCGTGTTCTTTAGCAAGGTATCCCATCAATTCTTGTCTGGCCAATCCGAAATTTGCCTTTTCCCCATGGGAAATACATGTGAAGGGAGTCATAACCTACCGTAATGGCCTCCATGATATCCGTAATAAGGCCATTCGTAACCGTTGTGATGATGGTCGTGGTGGTCATGATCATCATGAAAGTGGTGGTCGTGGTCATCATGGTCACCGTGATGAAAGTGGTGATGTGGATGGTGACCATATATGGGCCCCATCCCAACAGCCATGTTCATGACCGTGTGCTCCGTGGCCATGATCATCACCGTATGTCGATCCTATAACACTAAAATAGCTCTAATCCAGGAACAACACCTACATGCTTAAAATTACCGTATTGTGATCCTTGTTCGTGTTCTTTCGCAAAGCTACCCCATCCACCGTATTTTTGGCTGCCATAGTCACCGTATCCTTTCATGCTCGAATCCTTTCATATAGCCTTTGTTGTACGACTTGTCGTGATCATGGCCGTGGCGACCACCGCCATATTCTGCACTTCCGTACTTCCAGTAATCTAAACAGTAGTAATCAAAGATCGATCAACTGCCAAATAGTGCGTCGCGGAAATATCCTGGAAAACGTCCGCGGCGGAGGCTGCCTAGCGTAGCTCGTTCTCATACAAAGTGCGTGAGCCAGTGAGGAATTCACAATAATATCCCTCATTTTCGTTCAGCCGTACCGCGGAATTTGCCGGAAAAACCGAAGATTACTTACCGGTAGCCAAAGCGGCGCATACCAGTCCAGTGAGTGCCACAAGGCAGAAGCTGTGCATGATTTGTATGAGAACTGCTAAGCAGATGAACTGACGACTACCGGAATTTACTTCTGCTTATATACAGTCAGCCACTGACAGAGACTATGAGCTAATGATGGTTTTTTGCAATGGCGCCAGCAGGTTCGGATCTTTGTTAACGTTTTTTCCGCCAATTCATCTTGTTACATAGTGGTGGGTAATATATTTCATGTGCTTGTTCTCGCAGTAGTTGTTGAATCGTATACAGTCATTAATAATTCGTGAAAAATTGAACAATACAATATTCGCACATTGATGAAGAAGACTGTGTAGTGCAGAACACAACGGAATAGAATGCAAAGTGTTCGATGCTGAAGGCTATAATAGCTGATGAATATAGGTTTAGCCCATAAATAAAGTCTTTTTCCTTCCACTGGATTTTGTTTGGGAAGAGAGAATTCTTCTTAATGTTTTCATATTGTTTTAGATAATTTTCTTTTCTCCTCTTCTGTGCTTAGTTTTCAGGTAGAACCGAATCTCAGACAAACGTAGCAAATCATATAAAGTAGATCACAGTTTTTCGTTTATGTTGAATTTAGATCCGAGCTTGACAGTCTCTTTCATCAATGGCGTGGAAATCGAACGCAACTGGAGATGTTCGACTTCGTGTTCAATCAAAATGGTTACACATGCGAAGAGGCAAGTCATAATACATACATCAGCAAATTTCAGGACTGTGTGGCTTGGAGGCAGCGTGCGCTGTATGGTGGGGATCTCCATCAAGGGGGGCTTGATGTCGCGTGAAAGAGAGGCGTCCTTTGTGGCCGTTCAGAAAGGTTTCCTACCTCGGGCCGTTTCACCGTATTTCCGCTGTCCTTCAAGTGAAGCGCAACAGTGAGAAAAAAATGTCGTCGAAGTCAGATGAGAGGTACCATGTAAACGCTCGGCTCACTCCTGACCGACAAAAAATCTTATTTTATATCTATGGAGAAAGGAAGATCCCTGAAAGAGATTCCCGAGATGTGGTAGAAACTGGAGGAATTTCAGTGGTCAGTGGTTAGGTAGAACAGGACATAGGGAAGGAGGATATTGCCAGAAGAAGGATATTTCAAGGGGAAGGAGGGAAGGATGGCCGTATTTCTCGAAACTTACCTCTAACGGTAGGGCGTGTTCTGTTTGGGGTACACACTACCCAAAAGGTCCGAAGGCTCACTGGGACATGGGTATACACTAGAGCGAATGTCGAAATTCTTGGATTCTTCGTGAAGGTCTTTCACATAGTTACCTGATTTACTGGTAATGGAAACTTATCATGTACGGCATACATTGTGATCACACAGAGTCATTCCTGTGCTTTCAGATGTTCCAATCATGCTATGCTGGATCACAGACTTTGGACTGCTGCGCTATATTCGAGCCGACATATGTGATGATGAGAGGGAGGTGAGTGCTTGATCATAACCTCAAAAACAGCCTGAAGCTGTGTGCAAAAAAGTTACTCCATTACTCCAAGAGGCGACGGAAGAGAAGCAGAGTATAGTCGTTCACATTGCAGACGCTGAGGCATGTGAGGAGGCTGAATTTGGTGGGGTCACAGCTCTTTTTTCATCAATTGTTGGCGCTTGTCTGCTTCAAC